AAATAAACAGGAATATCATGTTGTAGAAATATTCTTTGTATTTTCTCTGAGAGGCCGGCAATATAAGGTACACAGACACCCCTTCTCTTCTTTTCTCTCTGTTGGTTGGTTTCCTCTCTGTTTGTTTTAATTTTCCTAGCTTTACCAAAGGCCCATTTAGGGTAGCTACACCCTGACAGTGCCCTCTCAATGTGTTTGACCTCACTCTCTCTCGACTTGGTGTTGGTGGAGATTTGGCTCGCTCAATGTTCAAGTGTTCTAATTACACCTAGCTAGGAACCATCCCCACCCAGTCCTCAAATAGGCCACGCTCAGCTTTTTAGCGCAGAGCAATTTCCCAGAGTCTTCACGGAGACTTCAGAGTTGTCTACCGCTGACGAAGCTTCTGTGAGAGAAGCGAAACGTCCTTTTTTGTTTTTTTGTTTTTGTTTTTTACCCACAGGTACAGATGACGACTGACGGAACCCCTTCTACAATAATACAAATGGTGTGGCTGTATACTCACCTGACTTGGGTGCAGGCAGTGTGGCTTTAAGTTCCCACTCAGGGTCAGCGTGAATGTGAGTGAATGTTTTTCTGTCTCTTTCTGTGCCCTGTGATTGACTGGCGACCAATCCAGTGTGTACGGTACTCTTGGTGGGAAGTCAGCTTGGGTAGGCTCCATTCTCCAGTCAAGAATGGATGGATTAAAAAAAAAACAGTCTTCCCAGAAGGGTGACAGCACCCAGCAGGAAGACAGAGCCGCCCACATACATACGGTATATGGATTAAACCTGATTATGCTAAACATACAGTAATGACTGGTTTATTGCAGGGTTCACATTGCAGACCATCCCCGCGACACACGAAATCCACAAAGTAGCACCTACAGTAAATATACATTTTATTATTTACATATATTTGAAAGCATACATATAATGAATACATGTGAGGTGCACCGTGGCTACCCTCATGTTCTGCAGTACTGTAGTATCTGTGACTATCTGCAGTGTGACCTTGGAGTTAGCAAACGAAGAGTCGACTTGGCTGAGTGTCTGCTCAGTTACTCAGCGTCAATTGTGGCAAACGGTAGGTCGCGTGTTATGTGTTCAATTTATTACCTTTATTTAATAAAGCTATGGGGCGGCCTGGTGATCCAGTGGTTAGCGTGTCTACCTCACAGTGCAGAGGTCGTGGGTTCGATCCCAGCTCCGTCCTTCTTGTGTGGAGTTTGGATGTTCTCCCCAGGCCTGCGTGGGTTTTCTCTGGGTACTCGGGTTTCCTCCCAAAACATGCATGGCAGGCTGATTGAACACTCTAAATTGTCCCTAGGTGTAAGTGTGACCGCGGATGGTTGTTCATCTCTGTGTGCCCTACGATTGGCTGGCAACCGATTCAGGGTGTCCCCTGCCTACTGACCTATGTGAGGATAAAGCGGATCGGAAAATGCATTGATGGATGGATGGATGGATGGATAATAAAGCTATGACTGTGTCTGCTTCACCAGGAGGGACTACAAGTCATTCTAAACTAGCAGCGCTACCAATACTAATTCAATTAAAGAGCCTATATTATATAACAGCATACTGTATATGATGTCATATCAGATGGGACAGGCTCCAGCGTGCCTGCAGCCCTTGTGAGGATAAGCAGTTCTGAGAATGGATGGATGGATTATGTTAAATTAGCTAACAAAATTGAATTTCCCACCGATGTGCAGTGTAATTTGAAGGGGAAATAAACCCAATTTTTATTTTATGACCAAATTATGTGGTACATGCTCCCAGAAGTCTGAACATGGTATTCTAATCAATGCCGGGTTAGTGGAATAAGAATTAAACTGACTCACTCATCAGTTTCCATCTCTCTTAGGTGCGCGTCATTTTGCTCTCTGTTGTCGACCAAAATTTATGTCATAATGTTTTGTGGCCCATTCAACAGCGTCTTGCGAAAACATTTTGGGGGGTTTAGTTCCATTGCAATTCATTTGTACTTGGAAATCGGCACACCAATATAGTGAATAATTTGCGCCGTAATTATGATAAAAATATTTGCAAGCAGTGAACCTGCAATAAGTGAACTGTGACATAACAGTGACGACTGTAATACAACAAACCTGAATGTTACAAACAAAAAAATCATGTCTTAATAATTTAATGAATAATCATAATTTACAGTTGGATACAATTTTTGATCGCTGTTCAACAGCAGCATTTTCAAGCACCAGTAGTAACAAATGTCAATAAAGATTTTACCCATACGAAAGTTCTGTTTTCAACAGTTAATTAAAATTGGGTTTCACTTGAAATTTAAGTTGCTCTGGAATGGATAAAAATAAATACTGTTTTCTTGCAACTATATTATTGCTTAACATACAACCACGAGTCCTCTAGAACCAAAACTGCAACTCGTTGAAGATTCCCACAAACAACTTGCCTTCTTAAACGTCGTCTGTCTTGGCATTTTCCAGCAAGAAGAATGCAGGACCGGGGGTGACAAAGATGTCCTGGTATGGCTCACTCTGGTGCAGACTCACAGCCCCTTCCTTCTGAAGCACAAGGAAACAATGGAACGTTCTAGCCACCTGCATGCGGGTGTTTCCTGAGCAGAGGTCCCTCAGGCAGAACGACGTGTCCTCACGCCACTGATGCACGCACACACACACACACACACACACACACACACACACACACACACACACACACACACACACACACACACACACACACACTGTGTTGGATTCTGCAAATGTGTCAAACTAGGTGGCCAGAGACGACCCACCAAATGATTATTTGTGGCCCACAAAAAAAGGGTAGGGCAGAACTATAAACTGACAGTTTTACAACATCTCACTGAAAACTAAAGAAACTCAAGAATACTTCAACATTTTAGCAACATATGAATTATTAATACAAATTAAGTGGTCTATGTTGTTTATTAAAACAAAGGCCACGATTTGAGGAAATGCGGTATTAACAAGAAAGCATGCAGCTATAATAAGAAAAAAAGAAAACACTTTATTTTTAGGTTCTTACTTGTAGAGATTTCAGGAGCATGTGTGCCTGTTGGTACACCGCCTGCTTCTCGCCAAAATTTTGGCTGCCCAGCAAAGACTGCAAGTTACAAAGGGAGTGAGTTATTTACTAGTAGCGCCAGCTCAATCTCCAGGGAGGTCTTGGACAAGTTAACGGGAACCATCTGCTTCAGCAGTCCTTTTAGTTCGCTGCCTATTGTTAATACTTCTGCAAAGGCGAACAAGCCTGGAAAAGGTACAGCGACATTATATCACTCTCAAACTACACTCTTGACACAGTTGGGAGAGGAAAAAAAAGAGTAAATACTTCAGGAACACTGCGTTCCCAATTATTAATGTGATTTCCTAATTGCAGAGGCTCTGATACGACTGGTCAATGGGAGCAAAGGGGTACGAAGGGGACGTCAACGTTGCACTGAAAACACTGGTATCTCAAATTATCTTTCCTCATTAAAATGAATGGAAATACCCTTATTACATTCCATTCCTGCCCCTCTTATTTTGTAGCACTCTACAATAATGCTTATAAAAACAATAATAACACAACTGAACAGAATGTAAATCATTAAACAGTTGTTAGGTGATTAATGCTGCAATCGAATTCAGTATGCTGCTCCTTCTGCTGTGCCCGCCTTCACCAACAGGAGGCTGTACTGTATAGTAGTCATACAGACACAAAATGAAATGGACACCTTATTCAATGAGGACTTAGTAAGCTTCAGTCATATTAGTAATTTAAAAAGAATATATGAATAAAAAAATGCCAGTGAGCATTGTTCTATGATCTCTTTACAAATACTCTGCCACCATTTTTGTGCAAATATCCATTGCTTGAAATGAAAAGGCTGTAAAACCGTGATTACTGATGCTAATCATTAGCATGACAATGATACTTTATATTATATGTTAGCAGTAAGCTGGTAGACTGTTCTTAAGGCAACTTGGGAGTTCCCGATCAATGATTTTATTAACAACCATAACTTAGCCTATCAGTGCATGATCTTTCACATTCCGGCTCTTTGTAGTGAGCTTACCTGAGCCAAAAGAGCAGGTTCTCGAAAAAATATAGTGTAAATATTCCCATCCCCGGAATTCTATGAAAAGGAATTCCTTCACCCGGAACAAAAGCCTGTGCATTAACATTTTGACTACGATATTACATGTTACCGGAACTTACGTAAGCGGAAATTCCACTACCCGTAACCCGGATTGAGACGTCATGCCGCGGGAGCTTAAATACACGCAACGCCCACCCGATGCTACGGAACGACGACACTGAGACACATTTTCACTTCGCGTTTTTCGATCATCAGATTCGAAACGACGACGTGTAAGTGAGTTTTTATTGGCGTGCGTTTTACTGTAATTGTGAATGATTTTAACTTTATTCACTTAACGTCCTGTAGAACGCGGCACTAGCTTAAAAGCAGCACCCACTCGACACGGCGAAGAAACGTGTTCGCTTTGCCGTTTTCATTCATCAGATTCGAAACGAAGACATGTAAGTGACTTTTTATTGGCGTGCGTTTGACTGCAATTGCGAAAGATTTTAACTT